ATGATTTTTGCATGAATTTTTCTTGTCATTTATTTACAATTAGAGGGTTAATTACTTTTTTAATAATTTTAAGAGTGTGTTTTTTATATTAATTTAATTTATTAAAAAATTAAAATTTTTAAATATTAATTTTAAATTTAATTTATAAAATAATATTTATTTATTAATAAATTTTATTTTTAAATTTTATTTTACATGGAATTTTGTTTGGAAATGCAAACAAACAGTACCTAGTACTAGGACAACATAATTAATAAGAGCAACGAAAGTGGGTGGAGCATATATGTAGTAGTAGCTGTACCAAAAAAATATATTTGTAGTAGTAGCTACTCGATGTGGGAAACTGCAGTTTTTGTCATGAATCAAAATTTCACTTTCTTCGATCAGAAAAAAAAAATTGTAGAATTAAATATAATGTCGTCACAGATATCGTCACAGATATTTATTTTATTAGTAGTTTGAATGTCCTTTATTATGGTCTTAAAGCTTTAGATCCCTTTCTTAACTTTCTGTCAAGTCCATTTTGTTGTTTAACCAATGTGATAGGACCCAACATTAATTATAAATTTGACTTACACGTGAGTGGAGGAAATCCTGTTAGGAGGTCTTAGGTTTCTCTCTTATTGTGATATTTTTCAGGCAAAGGATATCATAGATGTGAACAATTCAACAGAATTTGGGTTATTATCTCCTTTTAGTTTGTTAAAACCATTCATTATATCTATAATTTTATTAATTTATAATTTTTTAAAATAATTAATTATGATATTTAAAAATATTTATTTATAAATTAATTTTAATATATTAAATAATAAATATTAATTATTTTATCAATTATTAATTATTTTCAATAATTTTTTTATACTAACATTTTAATATCTAAAAAATACATTAGATCTTAATTAATTTAAAATTAAATTATATTAAATCTCGTAAGAAAAAAACTTTCAACATTTATTTTTTCATTTACAAAACTTAAATTTAAAACTTAATTAAAAAAAATTCAAACTATTTTCATTCGAATCAATAAATTATTGATAACAATTTTTAATAATTAAATTAAAATAAAAATTTAACAATTTGGGTGACCTTAATCAAAGCCATTCAACAGGCCACTCTTTCTACCAGTCTCCCTTGGCAATTGACTTAGCAAGACAGTGATACTAATATATCTCTGTACTTGGTCAATAATCCAAACAGCATATACATAAACTCTGTTTTTTGCAACCATTTTTTAAAATAATATTAACATAAAAGCACAGATGGAGCTTCCATAAAATGAAGCTGCTTCTGGGCCAAAATAAACAATAATTAAAAGAAATTCACACTAAATTACAAATCCTTGAAGGTCAACTGGATGACCCTACTAGACATCTCTATACAGGAGGAAGTTGTTGTGCAAGGGGTTACCTCTAATTCCATATCCATGGGGTCAAAAAGAAAGAAAAAAGCAACAGGATAGGAAAACCAAAATTGTTTGTCTAACGTCTACCTCTCAGGAGCACCAGAGAGAATTAGATCGTTGATACTATCTTTCCCCGTGGCTGGAATGCTGAGGGAACGTTTTCTCAATCTACCACTGCCAAAGGGTGGCAACCTCCTCTCTTTCTTCTCTCTAATCAGGGAAGAGTAAGAGCGTAGCGGCTCTGCCAATTTCTCACTTCTGGTTTTAAGGAAGATGTCTAAATTATGGTTATATTTATCACCTTTCATGAGGGTTGCTTGGTCCCCAGAAACTGGCACCACCTTATCTCCAGCCTCTTCATTGTCTGTCCAATAGCCATCCTCCTCCACATCCTGCATTACCAGATCATCATACTCTTCATCTGACTTCGTAGACTCTTCATCAACTGAGCCTATCTGTATAGCACAAAACAATAATATTTTATGAGGACATGAAAGGAAAAAAAAAAGCCCGCAAATACTATAATTTCAAAAGCAATATATCCCACTCCACATATTCTTAGAATTGCCACAAATTAGATTTAAGACTTAACCCAATTACCCAAACTATGCCAAAATTAAGAAACTTGGAATATTTTGGCAATATAACAGATAAATAAGAGAAGTACCTCATCATCAACAAGTTTGTTATTGTCATCACTAATATCCTCATCACTCCCTAACTCAGGTTGATCATCAACTTCTTCATCACTGCCATGCACTGATTGTTCCTCCTTAAGCTGTAAAACAGGATGTTTGTCAATAGTCATTAATCCTGGCAACAAAGTAAAAAAACAGAGCCAACTAAACTTTGAACCCATCCAAACCCCACCCCCCCAACCCCCATCCCCAAAACCCAAAAAAAAAGAAAAAAACCTGTAGTATTGACTTCCATGCTAGAAACTTTTTAGTAGGTGAAGTACCTCCTTGGCAGGTCCCTCAGATATCCTTGGTGAGCTGCAGCAAGAAGAGTAATTTCTACTGCCAGTATCAGTCCCCTCACCCCTTGACTCATCAATACTTCCCGCATGACTAGTGCCACCATCACTAGGCCAAGCACTGATTCCAAATAGACCAAATGGAAGATTAACTAGCTCAGCCTTGTCAATCTTCAAAGGTCCATACATGGGATTTTGTTTCCCATCCTCCATCCCATTGCTCAAGATAGGACGTCCAGTAATATCTTGTGAATCAACTGGCCAGGCTTTTGCCACAGTTCCATCGGTATTAAGAAGAGCCATCAGATGCCTAGAAGAACCTTTCCTCTGGAGCAGCCGAAACATTCCCTTTGAGCCCATTGAATTGGCAGCACACTGGTTCCTATATTCCTCATCAACCAAACCAACTGTATTAGTTGTGGGATCATAAAGCTGCTCACCAGCTTCACGCCTGCGAAGACAACTAAAAACTGTAGCATGAATGGCTGCCACACTCTTGTCAACATTTGTATTGTTTATCTTTGGGACCAAATGCTTATCTGCCCTTTTGCAGAGATATTCTTGTATCGTTCTGATGTTTTTTATATACTTCACGTATTTATTTTTGGCAGGGTCCAGTGTCATGTATTTTGCACGAACTGCAAACCGCTCCAAGTGTTTGTCTTCATTTGTTATATAAATCATAAATGGTATAATTGAAGGATGTTTCTTCATAAGCCCCATCTGCAATGCATAATTAGAATTAAGTAGAGAAAGATCAGAAGATAGTTGTCTTTATCATTTGAAAAATAAAGACTTCAGGTGCAGAAAGATTTTTTTTCTTTAGTTAAGAACCAGAGAATTTTACTTACAACAAAATTAAGGCTTAAGTGAACACCCTCCACAACTACTGATTCTCTCCTCTCTTCCCATGACGTAATCAGTCGGTCAAGACTGTCTATAACCATCTCACTTTGTGCCTTGAATCCTTCGACAGCCATCTGTTTAGGACTGATCAGTTCACTGCTACCAGAACTAACGTCTGTTGCTTGGGCATCTGGGTTCCCAGCTGCAGAACAACCAGAAACTTCTCCCTTAAGAAGTGATTTTGCAATCCCTGCCAATTTTTTGGCTTTTCGTTTACTTTTAGCTTCTGCAACTGCTACAGGATCCAAACACTCCCCTGCATGATAGGTAGAAGCCCAGAGCAGAGGATTTTGCTTTTCATCCACGAAACTCCGCATCATGTGCCGGATAGAATCAGTTGATGTTACAGTTGTTATTCCCAACCTGCTACCCTGCATGACAACATAATTAAGATTATTCATCAGAGGAACTCAATTGTAGAAATTAATTCACATAATCCACCCATGTCATCACATAAACTGTTATAATCAAGAACAGCACAGGAAAAAAAAAAATTCTAAATACTCAATCTGTTGAGTCCTAAACAAATGCATCCATGAGAGAGGATACCAGCAAAGCGGACAATGTAGATTTGCCACAACCACTAGTACCGCACAACAGCACAGTAACAGATTCTTTCCTCTCTCGAATTCTGCAAAGAAAACAAGAGGGTTGGTTGAAAGGGAGGTAACAAAGATCTTGCCTTTACCCTAAATAACCTCCAAAGAAGAGTTCCAAGCAAAATTACATTAACATTTTGGTCATAACTATCTTAATACCTACCATCACCACCAATATTTATCTTTGTAAGGTAATAATATCAATATAAGAACATTAACACTGAATAAAATTTACTGCAATGTTAAACATATAAAAGAAAGGAGGACATGTGAGCCACATATTCCATGCAACTACAGTACCAAGCTAAAAATAGAAACTAACCAATGAAAACATCATTGCAACAGAAGAATTATCGATGTTCAAGGGTGGAAAAATAAATTCCAGTAGTTCCGATGGTCTAACCCAAGAGTTTCTTGAAATCTTAAAACCTCAAGTCCAAAATGCTGTGAATGGAGATTTACTTCCAAATATGTTCCATACATAACTTTCCTAAGTTTCCTTGCACTGCATTAGACTTGAAAAATATGCCAGAATTTTATTATCCCATACATAACTCAATGCAAAAATGTAGCACACCATACCCTATGTGAATTTACAAATAAACAGACAACTACAACGCGAAGCGATAACTATCACACCAAGCAACTACCAGCAAAAGAATACCTTAAAAAGGAACAAATGGACACCACATAATGAAATTTTTTCAGTAGGTATAGAAATTACATAATACCTGCATGCCAAAACCAAGTCTGCCCTCTGGTTATGACCAATGTACTTATATTCAGCCAGAGCATCACATACAACATCTAAAAAAGCTTCTCTTCTAACAACTACAGTTGTGCGTCTTTTGTTCAACTCCGATGGTATACTCTTACTTTTGTCATCTTTCTCTGAAACCAGCCGGTTGCCAGCCTCTGCTTTACCCAAGTTGCTGCCACCAAGACAACCATCTTCCTTATCAGAGTTTCCTCTCAAAACATCAAGACCTACCGTCTCTCTACCTTCTAGACGTTGAGTATTGGAGCAAGATTCACTTCTTATCAATTCAAAAACTCTTGAACTAATCTGATCAGAGTAGAAAGAAGAGATTCAGAAAAAGGATATATTTATATATATAAAAAATCAAAAAAAAAAATAAAAGATCAGAAATTTCAATCCAATTGCCCCGAAAACCAGCAATGTATCAGTAAGTAATTTCCAATAGGGAAACAAGATCCCAGACTGATTCAGGACAAAATATAATTCCTTGAAAATGACACTGCACTCCATAATTGACAATATTATTCCATCTGTGAAGAAGAAAAGAGTAAAATCTGCTAATAAAAGATAAAATTATCATTGCATCACTAAAAAATATAAAAGAAATAGAATCTGAGAATTTTTCTGAACAGGTTAACGCAATCCAGATCTAATTTCTAACAACTATACACAATTATAATTCCACTTGAACAACGATCAGTCAACCACAATTTTCCATTTTAGAAAGGAAAATTAAAAAAAAAAAGGGACTTTAGCATAATCAACCAAATTGCGACGAGAGGAAGGAAAAAGGAAGAAATTCAAAAACGCCGGTACGGAACACAGATACCTTGAAGGCATGCCGCGCTTTGCAGCCCATGAGTTGGAGAGTGCTCTGCAAAACAGGACGCGTGTATCGGAACGACGACGTTTCCTTCTCCTCCTCCTCCTCCTCCTCCTCCTCCTCCTCCTCCGCCCCGTCCACCACCACTATATACGATACCTTCGCTGACTCAGTCATCTCTCTGCACCAAAAAAAAAAAGGTAAAAAAAAATCCAAAATTACATTAAATCAAAACATTAAACACCAAAATAAACTCGAAAACGAATCAAACCGAGACAATGCAGGCATTGAGACGGTGTAGAATCGAACCTAGAGGTATTTACATCATCAAAAAGGAAAAAGTAAAAGTTACCCGGAAAAAAGAAGGATCACGGCCGAGAATTGTTACAGAGAAAAGGCTAGGGTTTCTATTCCGACGAAAGAGACTTCACGTAATCTGAATAGCGGAGGAAAAACGACGGGATCTCCCCATTTCGTGTCATTTGCATTCCACGACGAGTTCCCTCTGTCTGTTTGTTTCTCGCGAAAATATTAAGGAAGAAAAAAAAAAAAAAAAAAGTGAGGGAGTCTGGTTCTGTGAAATGACAGATATCTCCTCGTACGGGTCGTGGAATTACGGTGGGTTTTGAGGAACACTCTAGAGATGGCTATCTATTTATAAAGGAAAAGTAGTGTGGGTCCCGGCGCGACTATTTCGGGATGGCATTGTAGGTAAATTTTCGGGATGATGTCTTTCGTCCTAAACTCCTAATTGTATAACATAAACGGATAAGTATTTTCTAATTGTTCGATTTGGTACGGCGTCGGTCCATTTCTTTCCAAGTAAGTATGGTATTTCTTTAATTTAAAAATATCAATTATATACTATAATAAGGATTGAGAAAAATATACTGTCTTCCTAATTAAAATATTTCATGTAAAGAGTCAGATTTTTTTTTTTTGAACATAGAAGTAGGACTCGGATTCTACGACTGTTAATTTTAATATAAAAAGTCTTTTATAAGAGAGATGTAACCATTAAACTATAAAAATAATTTTAAAGAGTAAGATATTTTTAATAAATTTATATAAAAAATTTAAATAATTTTATAAAAACTTTAATATTTAAGGTCTTGAAATATTTTAATTTTATTTTTTTTCTTATATATAATAAAAACATTATTTTAATAATTTAAGAGTTTAGTGATAATTTATTTTTAATAAAAATAAAAAATTATTAATTTAAATTGCGAGATGAAGGAGTAATCTAGATTCAGACCTTAAAAAATGGAAAATAATTACCCCACGTAATACCTGAACTTGTCAAAAGATGCAAATTTAAAGCACACAGTGTGCTTCTGTATATAAATATAATATAAATCATATGTTTTGAGCCTACTACTCTATATTCCTCGGGGAGGTTGGCTCTGCCTAGGGCCGGGCACTATATCATAAATGTCACAATTATCATTGTATTATTTTATTATCAATGAAAATGATATGATAATTTATCATATGATAAGTTTAAATGGTAACATGGTAATACCATTTAGACCTGTGATATGATATTGATATTGGAGGTCATTATCATTTTTACCATATGATTATCAAATTTATCACTCATTCAAAACTTTTTTCTCTTTTTTTTTTATTCTACAAAGTTTTCAATTGTTGCTAGTTCTCTCTTTTTCTTTTTTTTTTGATGTGTGCATGTTTTGTAAAATAATATATTTGTATGCTTCAAGATGATGAAAAATGGTATGGAGAAAATAAGTTTTTAAGATAATTTTAAGCTTTTAAGATTGAATTTTGAATGACTTGAATTAATTGATAATGGAGAAAATAAGTTTAAAGATAGTAATATGGTATGGTATTGGTAAAACAAGTTTCATTACCATTAAAATCAGTTAGTAACTATTACCAAAAAATCATCAATTAATATGAAAATGATAATTTTTTTTCATTACCATTTAAAACGATTATCATCATTTGAATGTGATACGGTTACCATACCGTACCATGCCCAGCCCTAGCTCTACCTACCTCGTTCATTTTTTGGTACATAAACATACACATATCCCCTGTCCTTACTTTGCTTTAAACAACACGTATTGGCTTATGTACTTCTGTAGTATTGAAGTTTAACTTGACTTCAAAGCATAGACGAGGCCAAAGTCATTGACACCCATTTTATTGGCAAAAGCATAATTTAGTATTTTATCTTATTAGATTTATAAGTTTTAACTATTCATCTTATATTATGATACTTTTAGTTTCTTATTTATTAAAATTAAAAAAAAATAATCCTCACTTATAATATTTTATTAGTTCTGTTAATTGACTGTTGCTCTATTAACTGACTGTTAATTGACAAAAACTTACTTTCAGCTAATAAAATTAATAATTAGTTAACAGAACTATTATATTAGTTAACTGTTAACTTTATTGATTTACTATTAGTTAGTAAAACTTACTTTCAACTAATCAACTAACAGAGTTAATAGTCAGTTAACAAAACTAATGAAATATTATAAAATGAGGGTTATTTTCTTCAATTCTAATAGGTGACAGGTTAAAAGTGTCATAATATAAGATGATGGGTTAAAACTTATAAATTTAATAAAATAAATGACCAAAAATAAGTTTTTACCCACTTTATTTCAACTAGCCTTTTTTAGTTTTAGGTTACTGGTAGCCCATTGGTGATAATCTCTTGATGAAGGGGACAAGGCACCATAGGGTAGGTAGGGTAGATCATTAGCCAAGCTTTAAGTTGTCTCGGTAAGTTAAGTGGACTTTGAAAAGAGTGAGGAGAGAGTCTTAATAGATAAGTCTATGATATTAATATTTATTAATTAAAATTTAAAAAAATTATTTTATGACAT